ACCCAGACTCCGAGACGGAATCCAAGCCCAATGACGAAGTGTGCCAGGCTGACCTGTTCCCTTATGTGCGGCATGGATCTGCCCAAATGTTGTACCCGAAAGGCTGCCGTGATTCCGCGCGCCCAGAGCCGGCCATGGTGATTGAGGGAGGACGCGGGCATCTCGGATGTGAGAGCTTCCCTGGACGTGAAACGCCATGGCAATAGCCAGACAAGTGCCAATCGTACATAACACTCGCAAGGAACAACAGCTTGCTCCCGTGCCAGATTTGCCTGAGACTATGCCATCGTCACTCACATTCAAGTTGCGGGTGCACATGCAAAGCACCAGTCTCGCAAGGCCTGTCAAGGAAGACCCGAAACAAAGAGAGAACAGCAACGACAGGCCAACCAACAAACACCACAACTTACAATTCCCCTCATCCATCACTCGTCACTCTCTTAGCTCCTGGCGCACCGCTCCGATGAGATGAGTCGACGGAGTCGGAGCTGGGCTGGGAAGCCCAGCGGAGGCCGCGCGGCGGGCCGCGCGGTCTGGTGCTGCTCGACCCATGTGCGGAGCAGGTCCGAACTGTGGCCGCGCTCCCCGAGCAACTGCAACTACAACGTGCACTGTTGGATCCAACACAGGAAGGCGCGCAGCCGCCGTGCGAACTTCCTCATGGCGACTGTACGTGCTCGGAGGTAGTTGTCCTCGGCTTCGGGGGGGCCAGCACGTACTTCAAGACCCACCACAATGTTACGGCCGACACCTCCTGAGGAGAAAGACCTGGAGGTGATGGCCTTGGTGCCGGGTTGGTCCGAGTACATGAGCTGGGCGTGGCTGCCTCGCGCCCTGGTTCGGCAAGGGTAGAGGAGGTCTCTGGCCGGCAGGTGGCGCCGCATCTCGCGGACGGGAGGAGAGGGTCCCGGCCGGCAGTGGAACCTGGGCCCCTGCCTACAGGCCGAGTGGAGAGGAGCGCTGGTGTCCTTGCGCAGGGCTGGAACGAAGAACGGGGCGGTGGTGTGGATGGTGCCGGCACCCAGGAGGCCCGGGCCTCGGTGGCCCCGGGGGGGGCATGACCGCCAGGGGTTGCGACCAGCGAGGGTGCGCAAATATCGCTGCCGCGTCCCTCACCAACGGTACGGGCGAGAAAGCGAGGAGGTGGGCCGATGTGGATGCGGGGGTGGCGGCGGTGGCGCCCAGGACGACCGTACCTCGGCCCGCCATGGTCCGCCTAGGGTATACAGGCCACGCCTTGGAGGAAGTGGAGGTCACGTGCTCGGACTTCGGGGACGCTACAACAAGGAGAAGGAGGAGGCTTGTGGTGGTCGTCCGAGGGCAGGAGATGACTGCGGGGCGCCTCATCGTCGCCGAGGAGGCAGCGCCGTGCATAGAGAGCTGCCTGGGTCGGGCTGGGACCGAGGCGGTGCTGCTGACCAGCCAGGAGGGGAGAGATGGTGCTCGCTCCTGGGCGACGTGCGGTCCGTCCACGTCCGCGACGAGCGGAAGACGACATGCTTTGCGGTGTAAGCACGCGGGCCCCGAGGGAAGAAGGCAGAGGTAGGAGGGATGAGGAGCTGCACGGTGCGACCAGATGGGCGACAACAGAAAATTTGTGGTCGGCCTGCCGCAATGGCAGGCGGCGGGGGTGAAGGGAGGACGTGCCGTGGTGGCGGCCTTGACGGGAGGCAGAGGGGCGCCCGCCCCCCCCGCACAGCAGAACGGAGGAGTGCTGAGGAGGGGGTGGGAAACTCCGGCAGCTTCGACGAGATGCTGCGAGGTGCCCGCCCCCCAAAGGGGGATGCACGCCGCCGCGGCACGGCGCTCTGGCCAGAGCTCTGCGCCAGGCACTGACGCTGGCGAGGCGCATGATGCTGAGAGAAAACATGGGCCACCACCTCCTTGGGGAACACGATTTGTGTGCACCACCCCCACAAACAAGCTGGTCAGGCACATAACCGTGGAGAGGGGGTTGTTTACAAAATTGGCATCCTCTGGGGACTTAAAATTTGTACACCACCCCGACGAACAAGCTGATCCGGCGTAATGTAAGCGCGGGGGCGGTGGCCAGAAACCTCCCCCCAACCTTGCCTCCTCCTCTTGCCTTGGGCCGGCCTGCGCGCGTACGGGCGCTCAACCCGCCTCTTGGAGCGCGCAGGCTCTTGGGGCCAAGCTCTCAAAGTTCGATGTATTCGGAAGCTTCCGCCGGCTCTCTGAGCATCTTCTGTCCGACCCCTACCTATCCCCATGGGCGTGGCCAGGGCCTCGCTAACCGATTGACCCCATCTAAATGGGGATCAACGGCCGTTGCCTTCGAGTTTCGAGGAGCATCATCCAAACTGCGGCGCTGGGATGGTGGGGGTCTGGATGTGAGAAAGCCAACTATCGCGTTGGGAGGAGGGGTCTGGGAAGATGCAGGGGACGACTGCGCAATGTGCCCGTTCAACAGAAACGACAACACGGGTAATCTTATCAGATCTCATCATTCATCTCAACCCTATCCCCCAACCCAATAAGTGCCTTTCAGAGGACGGGACGGTTGGGCTCGGGGATGGGGATGGGGTTGGGTTCAACGATGCTGACTCTGGGCGGTTCTCCCGCGCTTCGGGATGCTCCACTGCAGCTGCGCCCCGCCGAGAAGCGCCCCCGGGGGGGGGGGGGCCGGATCGCCCCGAACGGCCGCCTCGGAGCTGAGCTTTGATCCGAAGGCCACCTCCTCTCGTCGTGAAGAAAGCCCTCCCATCCGAACGCTGCGGCGCGCGACTTTTCGCACGCCGCTCTCTCCGCGCCGAGCAGACCAGAATGGTGGCGCATCGCGGCCTGTCGGCGGGAGCGGGCGACTCGGGCGTCGCGGCGATACTTGGGGGGGGGGGAGGGAAGAAACATGCACTTCTCGGGCCATCAAGGTTCTCTTTGGGGCCCTACGCGGCCCCTTCAGGGGCCCAGAAGGACCCTTTTCTGCAGCCCTCGCTGCTGTCCGCTTTCTCGCCCCCCCCATTTCGCGACGCCCTAACGCCGGGCGGTTTGGCCTCGCCAGGCCCTGTGGCCGTCAATGCACGACTCGGGTTGGATAGCTGGCCTCAGGGTAACAAACCCAGAGTCTGGACCTTCTCCTCCTGGTCCAGAGTTTCTCGGTACTGGGTCCCAGGGAGTCTGGACTCCAGACCACCTGAAACCCTGTGCCGAGAAAATGGAAACGTCGGATGTCTGCGGGGTGGCTCGCTCAGGGCGCGGAGCATCGACTTGCAATCGGCGATGCATCTCCGAAAGAGTGGCGATGGGCCCTCGATAGCCTCGATAGCAAGTCCACACGTCCCTGGGCGGGATGGGCTACAGGGCCCCTATAGGCGATGAATGGGCGATTGGGGATCGATGCATCACCCCCTGAGCCTGTCCCCCCTAATGCTGCCCCGGAGGAGGGGGAAGGGAACCCCCGGGGGCTCCTGGATCATGCCTCAGGCCTCTGGCGGCCGTTCGGGGCGATCCGGGCACCCCCGGAACGCTGTCGGCGAGGCGCAGCCGCTGGAAGGCGCCCCGAGGCGGGAAGGCCGCCGCGAAGCAACGAAACCGCCCGAACGCCTCGAACTGTGAAACCTCGCGCCCCCCTCTACCCCCCCCATCATCGTTGAGGGGGGCTGCTTCTTGGGTGATTATCGGCCTCCTGGGGGCCCTGGCCAGTCCACGAAGCCGTGAAAAGGCGACTCGGGATGGAAAACCGGCCACGGAGACTGGGTCTCGACCTCTGGGAATCTGCGTTGTGAAAAGCCGCGCGGGCGGACAGACACCGGCACCAACTGTACACCTACACCGATGCTGGCCTGCCTGATCCACCCGACGGCAGGAATGAATGCATTTTCAGACCAAAACGGCTTATGGCGGATTCCGGAAACCCTGAACCCAAACACGTTTCCATCTCTTGGGGGCGCATTTTTCGCTTCCACCGCCTTCCGCCGGCCTTCTGCGGGCTTCCGCCGGCGGAGACGGCCACGTTTTACTTCCGCCGACCTTCCGCCGAGGAAGAGACGGCATATCGTTCCTCGAAGGCAAGGCCGACTTGGACCGCCCCAAATAAGCATCGATTCCGGGGTCAGGATCGACCTGACCAAGATCGGTGCAGGTGTATAGTTGGCGCCCTCCGAGCAAAAGGAGCGTCATCCTGCGATCTGTCACAGCGTGGACCCCAAGAGCTCTACTGGGATAGGCGCGGGGGTTGCTGAGGGGATAGGGGGCCTATCAGTGGACGCCAAAGGCGATATACCTGGCCTGACCTAGCTTACAAGTGGGTTACGCATGGCCTAAGTGGCTCAGGGGGAATAGACACGTCCGCCAAGTGGGCGGAGCCCTCTTGGCCTGGATCGCTATTCCCCCCCAAGCCCCTTGGGGCATTAGCGACCCACTGGTGAGCTAATTAGACTAGGCCAGATACAAACCATCTTGACATGCACTGATTATCCCCATGTCCCCTTAGAGGTAGGTCGGACATCTCCTCCCACAGGGGGAGTTGAAACGAATAAAAAAAAGGACAAGAAACTAGAAAATCCAAAACAGTCCGAAATAGCCGAAACATCATCCTCAGAAGATTATTTTGCTATTTTTGAACATGCCTCCCGTGGAGGGACACGCCTGACTTAACCTACGAACCCCCGCGCCATTCCCAATACGTCTTCTCCCCAGGGCCAGCTTCTCCTCCCCGGCCGTTGCTCGACAGCCCCGGGGCGCTCGCGGGGGATGAGGGGGAGGCGAGGCCGCAGCGAATTGGCCGGACACCGTCCGCCGTGCTTCCTCGCGACGAGCGAAGCCAGGGTTAAGTCGGGCATGTCCCTCTGGGGGAGTATTAAGATATGTTCCTCTTCTTTTTTATAAAGAACGGGGGCAAGTTTCCCACTGGTTGCACTTTTTGTGACTATCATTGAACATCTGTGGGAGCACGTGCTGTTCTTCTTCCAGACTCCGCCTGCAGGAGGGCACGCCCGACCGAAAGCCCGGGGGGAAGGGGGACGTCCGCCCGCGAGCGCGCGCTACGCCCTGGCGCGGGACCTCCCCTGCGCCGCGCCGGCTGGCCGCAGGAGCCCGAGCACGCGCGCCAGCGGCAGCACCGCGACCTTGCCCTCGCAGTCGTTGGCCCCGTAGCTGATCGCCAGGTTGCCCTCGCCGGCGAGGGGGTCGGCTGCACGCGCCAGAGCGGCCCCCTCGCCGCCAGCTCCAGAGACAGCCCAGGGGACGTAAAAAAGGGTCTGGGGAGGCCTCCCGCCGCAAGGGCAAATGGGCAAGGGCGCACAGCCGGGGCGGCAGCCTGAGCAATCCTGGAGAAGGAGCGAGGCTCCTTTTTTCCACGGGCTGAACTTAGATCCCCCATTGTGAGAAGCCAAGGGAACCCGAGGTCCAACTGGGAAACAACTCAGGAACACGGAGCCCCTCCCCGACGCAAAAGGGCTCCCTCAATTCAGCGCCCGACTGGAATTATAGCGCCTGGCAGCTCAGCGCCCCAGATCGCAATGCGAGGAGGATGAGGAGGCGGAGGAGGAGAAGGAGGAGGAGGAGGAGGAGGAGGAGGAGGAGTGCAGCAGGGAGTGTGCGGCCCTGGACAGGAGCGGTCTGTGGTGCGCGAGGGGGCCACCGCCCCAAAGCCCCGACGTCATGATTTGCTCATCTCCTCCTCCTCCTACTCCTACTCCTCCTCCTCCTCCTCCTCCGTCGACCCTCAGAAGTCTCGACCCACTCCTCTGGACCGGCTTTCCATCCTGAGTCGTTTTCTGACGGCTCCGAGGGCCGGCAAAGGCCTCCAGAGGCTGAAGATTAGAAAACACCTTCCGTCATGATTTTTTCACTGCCCTATTGGGTCTGTGATGGGGCCAAGTCCGAGTGCGCAGGCCAGCGCTGCGGGGGCCCCTCTGGGACCGCACGGATCCCAAGCATCCGATGCCTCGAGCTTCTCAATGCGGGGTCCCCAGAGGCCTGGACTCTACCCTCGGGACCAGCTCTTCGTCCCGACACATCTTTTGACAGTCGTGGGGCCTGGCGAGCTGGCGAGGGCCCCCATGAGGCTGAAAACGGTGACCTGAGTCACTCCGGCGAGAGGTCACTCTTACGTGCAGCCGAGATGGTGCCGCCGAGGATCATGCCGCCAGCGAACTGGATGGTCTCGCAGAGACCCCTGTGGTGGGCCGTTGTGGACGCTAAGCAGACGATAGGGCTCACGCGGGCCAACCGGAAGCCAGAGGGAGCGCTGAAAGAGACAGTCCCTTCTGGCCCTGACACATCGCGTGCAACTGTGAAGAAGAAGAGGGCGTACTGCGTGTTTCCGCGGGCTATCCTGCCTATCCCGAGAAACTCACCTGCGTCCGACTCGGGCAAGGGTATAAGCGGCGACCCTCCATGCACCCCCATCGTGGAGTGTCCTTGGTCGTGAAGCCCAGCGGACGCGTAGAAGCCGTGCATGGCAGGAGTTCTCGCCTCACTGATCTCAGTGCACTCGCCAGTAGCCCTGTCGACGAGGACCACGACCAGAGGCTCAATGGTGAAGATCAGATACAGTGATTCCCCCAGCACGAGCGGAACCCAATTCTTCTGGTGCACATTTGCCAGCCTGGGGGAAACCAAAAGGTACCGATATACCGATACTTCCAAGACCTCTCCTGGGGTGCGTTCTGACCAGAACTTCGAGGCGAATCCAGCGGTAGCGACGAGGACCTCCCGTAACGCACAAACACACAGAACAACTGCTTCTCCTCGGGGACCTGCCCTCGGCGCGGTGACGCTCGGAGATCTCGTCGGCGCGGCCAAACCGTAGCCGGATCTTATCCTTGCATCGGACCCTTCCATCCTCCTCGGGCGGGAGCTCCAGGGCACAGAGCATCATGTTGTGAAAGCAGTAGGAATGGTGGCCCTCCGGAGCAACTGCCGCGTAGAGCATGAAGGGCTCCAGGCCGATCGAGAACAGCCTGGCATCGTCGACGCCCATGCGGACCATGCCGCTGTGGTGGGTGCAACGGGTCTGAGGTGGGCAGGAGCGGCCCAGGCCCCCAGGTGCGCAGAACAAATCCGCGTGGCTTTAGATCGGGCATGTCCCCCTCCAGGCGGATCTTGGGCGAAACAATGATCAAACAATATTCATACAATCATCAACATATAACAAAAAAACGTCCCCAGACTGGACTATGTTTGGATATTCCTTCTGTAGAGGGACACGCGGACACGCCCCACTTACGCGTAGCTTTAGACTCCCCCCCTGAGGGGTACTCTGGAGTCCAACATGGGCCTCCCCCGAAGAGGTTGGGCAACACTTTGGGCCAGAGCCACATCTGCCAACGCCCGAATAGTGCGAACTGTAGTTTGTGCCCACGACTGGGCGCGGAGGGACGACGACTGCAAAGTCGGGGCGAAGGATTGCTGCGACCACCTTGCTCGTCGTCCGCCTCTTCCCCTTGACAACGGGAAGGCGTTCTAGCGGCGATCCGTCTCCTGCCCAGGTGCACAGGTTCCACGTGCTCATCCTGTATGCGACCAAGATGACGCTCTTGCCCCTCCAACGCACAAGCACGAACGATGGATTGTATGCAGCCCATTGCCAGTCGACGCCGGGTGCTGGAAGCTGAAGCGAGGGCACGTCCAGGATCTGCACGGGCCTCCCGAGCAGGAGCATGCCCTTCTGATAGCCAGTTATCGTGGCCGCGTCACCCAGCAGGCGTCCAGTGCCATACCTAGGGAAACGAATAATGGCATAAACAGAAAACTCTGAGATCCGCGCAGATTTCTAGGCTCGGCAGTGGAGCCCCCTGGCGGCCTCTCCGGCGCCGCCCCTGTCGCGCTCCGCGCGCCAGGGAGGGGGTTCCAGCGCCGATCCGAGAAATCCGCGCGGACTTTCTAGTTTTCATGTTTATGTCATTACTCGTTCCCCTAGTACCGGTGGCTCGAAGAGTTCAGGCCGCCCAACCCCCTGAACGGGGGCATCCCGTGCAGCTTCTCCAGCGCGGCGCCCAGCTCCGCCGCTGCTGTGCTCGCGACGTGCCCGCCCGGCCCCAGCCGCCGCCGCAGCGCGGCCACCCTGTCCTGTGAGCAGGGACCGGCCGTGCCGGCATGTCTGTAGGCCTACCACGAGATGTTCCGAGAACCCAACATGTTCCAAACACAGAAGGCATGCTCTTAGAACATGACCCCGACGTGTTCAAACACGACAGTCCCAGCCAGATAACGTTCCGAGCACACTTCGCGCAAGCCAGAGAAAAAGGCTCTTACAATATCCTCCCTGGTGGGCCCTCAAGTCCTGCTGCTCGACGACCTCGGCGCCCAGGGGGTCTCCGAAGTACGCGCCGCCTGGCGGCTGCAGCGGCCCAGGCAGCCTGCAGGCGAGCGCCGCGGCCACCGCCGCGGCCGCCGCCGCGGCGACCCAGCCGACCGACACGGCGCCCTTCGCGGCCCGCGCCGCCGGGTCGCGACCGCGGCCCCCCTCGGCGGTGGAGCCCGCCCGGCCGCCGCCGCCCGCCCCCGCGGCGGGCGCCATGCCCCGGCCACGGCGAGGCCAGCTGCCGAGGGCGGCCGGCCGTGGAGCGCCCGGCCGTCGGCGGGGCAAGGCATGGGCCCCATGCCCCCAGACCTCCTCGCGCGGTGGCAAAAAACCATGACGGGAGGTTTGTTTCGTGTTTGGTCAGCCTCCAGGGAGCCTCCAGGGGGCCCTCGCCGGGCCTCGGGACGCTCAAGGAGACGACGCAGGATGAGAATCCGGTGCCGGGGGAATGGGTCTGGACCTCTTGGGGGTCGACGTCATGACAAAAATCACGGCATCGGGGGTCTGAGACCGTGGCGCGGACCCAGCGGGGCGCACCCCCTTAACCCAAGCGGCGGCCACGGGTTCCCAGTCGCTCGCACTCGCGTCGCAGGATCCGCCAGCACTGGACTAACGCCTCCTGGATGGGGTCCGAGTAGATGGGGTGGGAGGATCTAGCCACATCGCCGATGCATCGGCCATGCACTGGCGACGTTGGCGATGCATCGGCGACGTCGGCGTGGAGAAAATGAGGATTTGCATCGAGCCGCATCGCTGATGCATCGCCGATGCGCGGCGATGCGACGCGATCCTCCGACCCCATTTATTCTGACCCCATCGAGGAGGCCTAGACTGATGCGCGCACCCTGGGTCGGATGGGAACGGGCATCGGGTCGGCCCGCATCGGCACGGAGCCGACATCAAATCGGATCGGCTGAACCAAGCGCCGAACCCGAAGTTTTGGCACCCTGGCATTCCGCCACGTGGGGACCCTCCTTGGGGGCCTCTGGGGCCGTCTTGGAGCCCTCATTTTTTTGCCGAGCGCAGAGATGTCGGTCTTTCAGGCCAGTCTTGTCAAACCCATTGGGATTCGCAATGTCTCGCGCTGTACCGCAGCCTGTTGGAAAGCTCTGCAGCTGTGCTCCGGCTTTGGGTGACAAGCAAGCACCGGGAGCGGGCATCGAACGGAGGCGAGGAGGAGGACTGGGGGGAGACTGGAGACGGTGCGAGATGATTCCACGCGAAGCTGTGGTTGAACATGTGCAGGAGCTCCTTGCAGCATGCCCAGAAACGCAACTAATTACGCTGCGAGTGAGACGGAGCCGACCGGGCATGATTCAACACGGTGGGCTTGAGCGCCTCGGCTCGCTGGCAAAGCCACGCTGGTCATTTCGGCGTCTTAGTGGCCGGGTATATGATCAGCGCTCGCCCCTGAAGCGCCGACACCAGCCCGAGGTGCGTCGGCGAGGGGACACCTCGCTGGACCGCGGGGAGAGCTCAGTAGAGCTTCTCGCAACTCCAGCCTTTTGTGCCTGCAGCTGCAGGGTCGCACTCCCGCATGCAGCTGCCCCACTCCTTGTTCTTCAAGTAGCAGTAGTCGTCCTGGCCCGCGCAGAACTTGTGGACCCTGCAGTCCTGGCCGCGTAAGCCCCCCGTGGTCCAGTCGTAATCTTCGTCGACTGGCCCGGCCGGCCCGGGAGTGCGGGCGCCGAACTCCTCGCAGTCCCAGGGGTCCTTGTTGGCGTCGCCGGGCATTGACTTGTTCTTGGTGCAGTTCGTCCGGCAACTGGCCCACGCCGAGTTCTTCTTATAGCACTGGAAGCCGGCCTCGGCGCAGCACCGCAAGGCGGTGCAGTTCTGGCCGGCCTTTGGGCAGTAGTCGGCGCCGGGGCTGCGCGAGGTGCTGGCCGCAGCCTCCTGCGACGCCAGCCGCACCAGCGCAGGGCCCGCCCGCTCCGGGCCGCCGCGCGAGAGGAGGAACACGACGGTCGAGGCCGCGGCGAGGGCCGCGAGGAGCGCGGCGGCGGCCACCGGCCTGCGGAGGCGCGCGGGCCCTGGCTGCTCGCGCAGCAGCTCCGTGGCCTCCTCCGCCGTGGCGCCGCGGTCGGAGCGGGCGCCTGACATGCGGCCGGCCCCCGGCCGATGGGCGCGGTGCGGGGGAACAGGAGGCGCCGGGCCCCTGCGCGCGGGGTAATTGAAGAGACGGGCTTGAGCCAAAATGGCTACGGAGGGCCGTCTTGGAGCCCTCTTGGGCCAACGTGGCGTCCTCTCGGAGGCCTCCATGGCTGAACGATCTTAGGGGCCGCTTGGGTCGTTCTGGGCGCCCTTCAGCTCGCAAGGTCGAGAACTGGGCCTGCGGAGTGGCACGCGCTGCGGCGAGGTCACAAATTCGAGTCACGGGTGTGGCTGCCGCTGAGGCGCAGGCACCGCTCCGACTCAGACGCGCGGCCCGTGTTCAAGCACAGACATTCTCTGACATGACTGCTCAACCCGCGGCACCCAAACTCCCGCCCCCTTTCCACGGGGCTGGTGCTGCGTCCCGGACCCATGTCTGATGGTCCCAGGGTCCGACAACGGGCCCCAGAAGCCGCTGTGCTTTGATAGGTCTCAGAGAAACAACAAACCAAACGGCCCAGATCGCACAAAAGCATATCGTCGGAGATCTGGAGGAAGGAGAACGCCGCTCCGAGCCGGCATGCTGGCCGACGCTGACACGAGGCACAACGTCGGCCGCCGGCGGCTGGCGACGGCGGCCCCGCCCGCGGGTGCGAGGACTTGCTCGCTGCCCCCGCGACAGTCTGGCAATGCCCTGCTTCTCACCGAGCCCTCTGGCGACACGCCGTGAGCGGAGCCAAGGATCGGCGGCGAGCGAGGGGGGGGAGTGAGAAGGGGCGGGCTTTCTCAGAAGACTCGGACGCCCCGTGGACTTGTCAGAAGTTATAGAAGCCTTCCCCGAAGATAGAACAAACCTCTCAGAAGGCGCGAGGGCATCTGAGAAGTCCCGCCGCCCTCTGAGAAGGCCTTCGCCTTCTCCCCCCTTCGCTCGCCGCCGAAAGGACCAATGCCGTGAAGCGTGGGACATTCGGCGTAAGGGCGTGGGCGGAGGCGGGGCCGTCGCCAAGGCCGTCGTCCAGGCCTTTGCCGCGCAGGCCTTCAAAAGAACGATCTCTGAAAGCGCCGTCGTGCGGGGCGCGCCAGCGGGTCCGTCGCACCTGCGGGCATCCCGCTACGCGAGCACCGCGCCAGGGGGGGGGAGGAAACAGAAATCGGCCTTACGGGACGGGCTGCAAGAGCAGAGGGGGCACAACAAAAAACATCCGCGTAACTTCTGGGAGGCCAGCGCGGACTTCTTGGATCGGCGCTGGACCCCCCTCCGTGGCGCGCAGAGCGCGCCAGGGGCGGCGCCGGAGGCGCCGTCAAGGGGGCCCAGCGCCAATCCGAAACATCCGCGCGGACCTCTGAGACATTGTGTTCAGGCTGCTTGCCGTTCTGAAATAGAGCCTTTCCCTAGGAAGCAGGTCACGGAAGCTTGTGGTCGTCCCCCAAATCGTCCAACATAGCGCAACGCGGACGTGATGCATCTCCCTGACATGGCGTCAATGGGCGCTGTTGAGCCCCATGTGGGCGCTATTCCGCACTATTGAGCGGCATAGGGCGCGCTACTGGGCGCGATGGGACGCTGTTCGCTGATGCACATTCCATGCACGACGAGCGGGAGCTCCAAGGACTTACAGCGAGGTCGTTGCACCTCTTCGGCGGAGGCCTCGGGTATATGCCCGAAGCGAGCGCCGCCCGGGAAGGGAGGCCAACCAGCGCTGCGGCGGCCCCGTGGGGGCTGTCCCGCGGTCTCCGGGATGCGCCACACGCGGTAGCTGGGCCAGCCTTCTGACTACCTACCAGACCACCCCTACCCAACCCGAAGACCCAGATTTCGGGTTGGGGGCGCTTCCATGTGCTTTTCAATGTTCCCCGTTCCCCCCACTGGAAAATGAAGGAAAATTGGGGCCTTCGGGCTGGGTTGGGGTGGTTTGGTTGGTGGTGACCTTCGGGCCAGGCTGCTCTGTTGGAGCATGTTTGCTCAGCGTGTCACGGCGGAGGCCCCAGCGACACGCTGTGCCCTCTGAGCAGATCTCGTGCCGCTCCGCTCCGACGGGCTGGAGGCTGGGACAAGTTGGGCGCGCCTCGCTCGTGCAGCACGAGCAAATCTCGCTTGGCCGCCTGGCGGGCGCCGTAAATACTTTGAAACCACCTTCGGTCCCTGGGCGTGAGTGGTGTAGAGTGCGTCCTCTTCCCACTTCCCTTCTTCCCCTTCGGGGAGGGGTTGATCACTGTTCCCTGTCAACCAACACCCTCTCCCCCACCCGACCAGCAGCCAATCCGGACCCATGCGACACCCATGCCCCCCCCCCCCAAACATCCCTACCCACAAACAATTCAAAATACACTTTGCCTCAAAGGCTGGATCATGCGCGGGCGCCCCGCGACCACTTTGCATTGGCTTTTGACAGGGGCACTGGAGGTGCCGGCATACTGCTTTCTGCTTGCAGCAGGCCAACGCCCCCTACCATCCCTTGCAAGAAACAAGTGCTCTTTGCACCGCGATCTGGATCCTGCGCGGATGCCCCGCGATCACGTCGCATTGGTCTTTGACAGGGGCGACGGGGGGGGCAGCATATTGCCTGCTGTGTGCAACGCCAACATCCCGCAGCCATCAGTTGCAACACAACAAAAATCAATTCACTTTGTACCGAACTCGGGAACATGCGCGGACGCCTCGCGCTCACACCGCATTGGCTGTTGACAGCGATGGCGAGGCTGACAGCATACTGCCTGCTGCGTGCGGGCCCGCGACCCAATTCAAAAGGAGAATTCCTGGGGACGGCGGGGGAGGGGAGCGGCTTACTTCCTCCGCGCGCAAGCCCACCAAACAAGTGCAGAACGATCGTGGTCGCACACCCCGCACACAACAACCCCGCCGTCACTTTGCATTGGTTGTGACGGGGGCGGTGACAGGGTCGACATAGTGCCCACTATGGCGCACGTGGTGCGCGAGGCGCGGCTGGCATGTGCGGCGCACCTCGCGGGCTTCGCGCATCTGGTTGGCGTCTGCATTGGTTCCCGATCGTTGCCGATGGCGGCCCCTGCCCATGCTGAAACCCAAGTGCAGTAGCTTGATTTCTGTCCCCTCTTAATATACACCCCCTCTCCCACCCGGCCGGCGGCCAACCCGGAACCATGCCCCCCCCCACCATCCCTTCAAAAGACACTGCAAAACGCACTCTGCCTCCATATTTGGAGCATGCGCGGCCAACCCGATGCCCCCCCACCACCACCCCTGTCAAACAACAATGCGAAGTACACTTTGGGACAGAGTCTTGAGTCTTGTTCGTGGGGCCCGCGAGAGAGCACTTTGTATTGTTTATGACATGGGCAACGGGTGTGTCGGTATATTCCCTGCTGTGCGCAGGGCTACCATCCCTGACAAACAACAAAGCAAAATACACCTCGCGGCCAAATCTGGATCATGTGCGGCACCCCCGCGATCACAGCCAATTGGTTTTTGACAGGGACGGCGGGGGTGGCGCGTGGCCTGCTGTGCGCAGGCCCCCCAGACACAATGATGGTCAGTGGTCTTCGACAGGGCTGGTGGGGGCCGACATGCGTCCCGATTTGTGCTGTCAAGAGCGCATGCGCACCTGACGCACTCTGCACGTGTCCCAAACGTGGCGCACCTGGCGCGGCTGGGGTGTGCGGCGCACCTGGCACACTCGGAGCACGTGGCGCATCTGGCGCACCAGGCGTGCCTGGCACGCTCGGGCCCCAGGGGTGCCTGGCGCGCGAGGCGCACCTCGCCCAAGCCTCGCGCACGTGGGGTCGGCTTTGGCTCCCAGTAGCTGTCCATCCAAAGACGACCGCTGAACATGCTCAGGCTCGGGTGTTACTTATGTGTTGGGAGGGCGGGTGGGAGTGAGCTAGACGGCTTGTGGGCGGGTGGGTAGCTTGAGCCCTCCCCCATACTCCCTACCCTAGACCTGGATAGGTGGGGTCACGACCGATTGGAGCGTCCAAGAAGGTCTCGACGAGACGGCATACATGATTTACTTTACTTTGAAACAATGTTGGCCTCCTGGGGAGGGGGGACCTAGTTGAGCCCCCCTTGATTGATCTCCCCCAAGGCTCCCACGAGTGCCCCAAGAGGCCCCCAAGAGGCGCCTGGGAGGCCCCAAGAGGCCACCCAAGAGGTCCCCAAGCGCCCAAGCGGCTCCTAAGAAACCCACAAGAGGCTCCCCCGAGGCACTCAAAACGCTCCAAGAGACCCCAAGGACCGCCAAGAGGCCCTCAAGACGCCCCGAGAGGACCCTAAGAATCTCTCAACAGACATCCGACGAGACTCAGGGCACCCTGACGAAAAGCAAGTGGCCTCTTGATGTGCGCCCTCACTGTCAACATCGCTTTCTCTCTCTCTCTCTCTCTTTCCCCATCCCTCTGCCTCCCCCTCCTCCTCCTCCTCCTCCTCCTCCTCCTCCTCCTGTACCACCCTGTACCACCCTCTGCGCGTGGCGCCGACCTTCGCTTCCCGTGCGAACGTTCTCTTAGTCGGCGTCTCGGCATTGGGGCGAGGGGGGGGTCTGCCCCTGGACCTCTGCTTAGTGTTAGGTCGGGCATGTTCCCCCTACCGGCGGGTTTTTGATGAAACATACAATCAACGTAAAACAGAGCAACAGCAACAAACTCAAAGCATCGTCCCCAGACTTTTTTATGCTACTGTTTGAATATTCCTCCTGTATACGGACACGCCCGACTTAAGCTTAGTGCGACTGTTTGCAGATGTGCGTCGAATGAGGGCAGGCGGCTGAGGGAGCCTAGGGCGCCCATTCGGGAGTGTCAAGAACAGCCACGATCTACTCCATGGAGGGGGGGTGCGAGGGCCCGCGACGATCGGCAAAACGATGAATAAAAAAGGATCGCCACGCCAACCGACGCTAAGTCGGCGCTATCTCATCGACTCCCAAGCGATGAACGACGCTAAAAACTGAATTAAGGGGGTACACCAGGCTTCCATGACTTTCTACCGAAGCAGCGGGAGGGGGAGGGCGGCGCTGTCAGGGGGGAGCGCCCACCTCCTTTGGTTGCCGAGAAACATCACGGTGGGTTCGTCAGCAATTCTTGACTATCCGCAGCAGGATCATTTTGGCTGCGCGGCCGCTTTGCTGCTTCTCGTACTCGTGCGTTCTGCTGCCATGGGACTGTGCGGCTTCGACCACCCTGGTCTCTCGCAGCCTGCCAACACTCTCGAATTGTTCGGCATCAATTCGACCTTGACCGTCGGTCCTTCTGGCTGCGGCCACCCTGGTACTCACGCAGTTGTCCGGGGTTCGCGCCCATGCATTAATCCCTCGGCCCGGCCCTGGTCGTCGTTTGTCCCGACTTCCTGGTGCTTCCGACGCCATGCATTCCTGCACGCTGGCAGTACGACTCAGTTTCAGCTGCCCCCTCCACTCGCCGGTCCGCCGCTGAGCTGCTGCGTGGGGCCCCGGTTAGCCGCTCTTGGTGTGGCCGCCCTCCGTTGCTTCAGTTTAATTCGTCGCTGCGTGCCCCGCTTTGACTGGACTCGCCGCCGGCGCGCTCGCCCGCGGCCGCTGACTAAAAAGGATCCGCAGCAGCAGCTCGCAGACCCTGGCCGCTGTCCACCCTGGCAGCCAGCCAATCTTTGCAGCGCGTTGCATGCGTGCAGTCTGGCAGTGCAGCTTCCCAGCAGTTGCCGTCAGCCCCCTTCCACTCGCCGGCCTGGCCGCTGAAGTGCCGCGTGAGGCTTCGGCCCACCGCTTTAGGTTAATTCGTCTTTGCGCGGCCCGCTCTGACTGGACTCGCCGCTGGCGCTCTCGCCTGCGGCCGCTGACTAAAAAGTATCCGCAGCAGCCCATCCAAAAACAGTCAGCAGGCGAGTCGCCCTGATGACGTGTAGCAGCATACTCACGCGTTGGGAGCCTCCTTGAGGCATCGTGGAGCCCTCCTCCAATCCACCCATCTCGGCCCCTCCCCCCGCGGTCCCCATCATAGGTAGGCGGCCACATGCGAACCCTAGCCCTACCCCCCACGATTTCTGAGGGGAGGGTGGGGCTCACTTCGCTCGGAAGCTCCCATACGAAGTGAACCCCACCCTCCCCCTCAGAAATCGTGGGAGGTAGGGGTAGGGTTCGCATGTGGCCCCCTAATGGGCAGGCGAGAGAGAAGCGGTCGACCCCGGCTCGTCGCTGCCCCCGCCCTCCTCGAGGCTGTGCTCCTGGCGCGCGGGGCAGCACCGGCGAGCTCTGCACGCTTCCCACACCTCCTCGCGTTGAGCAACAATCGCGACGGGAGGTGTCTCGCGAAATTCGGCCTCCGCGGGCCCCTCGCGGGGCCTCGGGCCTCGGGGCTATCAGAGACCGACTCTGGACGAAAACCAGCTCCCGGGGAGGGGCCCAGGCCCTGGTGGGTCACGTCGCGGAAAAGCCACGACGTCAGGGGCCTGGGTCGACGGATACACAGAGTTCGATGGTGCCGCGCAGCCTCAGACGCTCAACTATGCGAGGCTGGAATCCGGCGCCCCGGTGCCCCAGCGGGCAGTGATATACTAGCCCCTGGGGGCCCGGATATATCCACATCCACCGCCTGTGGAGGCCCGCGAAGATCCACCCCCCAGGCAGTGGCTGTGAAAAAAGCCCCGCCTCGGAAACTTCCACTGTGACATCGCGGACTCCTCCTTTCCTCCTTTCCTCCTCGTTCCCGGAATCCTCGTCCGAAGCTTATCCAGAAGAGCTCCTGCTGTTTAGTTTGTTCGTGACCGATCTGCAGAGCGCGCTTGCTGCGGAACCACCGCCTCTGCTCCGTTTTCCATCCTAAAATGCAGCCAGGACAAGGCAACACCGGTCTAGGATAACTCGGGGGAATCTGAGACCAGGCATCTTTCCGGAGGGTGTACTAGGCGCCGCAGCCGTTCTGGAGCGCTCTGGAGTGCTCTACGAGCGTTTTGGATCGCTCTGAAGCGATCTACGATCAAGAACTTGTGCATAACGACTACACGCAGGAGCGGCCCTGGGTAAGAGTGACCCCTCCTCCTCCTCCTACTCCTCCTCTCCTCCTCCCTTCCTGATTCTTCTCCTCCTCCTCTTCCTCCTCCTCCCTTCCTGCTCCTCCTTCTCTTCCCCTCCTCCTCCTCTTCCCCTCCTCCTCCTCTTCCCCTCCTCCTCCTCCTCCCCCCCTCCTCCCTTCCTGCTCCTCCTCCTCCTACTTGGGCCAAGACCGGCGGGGCGACTCGCTAAGCCACAGTTCCTGACCGTATCCCATCATGGTTTTCGGTCGGGCGCGGATGAATGGGGGGACCAAATGGGAAGGGCCCCTATTCGAGCCATGAAGGCCGATTTCTGGCTCGGAGTAAGGGAGCGGCACTCGCACGGAGCGGAACTCGCACGGGCGGAACTCGCACGGGTGGAACTCACACGGATCGGAACTCGCGCGTACGGAACTTTCACGAACAAAAATCACACGGACAGACCTCGCACGAACGAAACTCGAGCGAAACGGAACTCGCATGGGCGACCACGCTCAACGAATCCACACACGGTGGAACTCGCACGCGTGCGAAATCCGTCCGTGCGAATTCCGTGTGTGCGAGATCCGCGGTCGCGAGCTCCGCCTTGGGCGAACTCCGTCCGTGCGAATGTTGCCGTGCAAATTCCATTTCGTGAGATTTCTTCGCGTGCCGGTTTCACTCGGGCAGCAAGACTCGCGCGAAAATGGGACGGCCAACAGAATTGGCACGGTCACCATTTCGCGCAACGAACCGCTTTACAGCCAGTAAATCGATGCAGGGACTGGACCAAACTAGAGAAGAACTCAGGAAGGCGCCAATCAGAAGTTGTCCTTAATTCGTACACAAGTGACTACATACAGCACGAACGCTGTCCAGGATTTAGCAAAAACAGAAAAATCAGACTGTCGAATGCCCGCGCCCGTTGCACTGGACACAATTGCACGTAGCCAAACAGAACCGAGAATTGCTGTCATATCTCTGACGCTTCTCTGGACCCGCGCGAACCTCCACAAGGGGCTCTGGATGCCTGTGCGGACCTCTGGGGACGCCCGGGGGCCTCCCGAATGTCATCCGCTTTCAAGATGTGAAACCGATCAAGTCTCACACATCCCGAAGGGCAGCCTTGACCAGAACTCCAAGGGGGATCAGCCGCGCCGACGAGGAGACCGACGGAGGCCGAACAAACGCAGTAAACTCCTGTGTAGGGGAAGACTGAATACATGAAAACTTGTTCCCCAATCGGTGCTTGCACTGAAGGGGTCCCAGCGGAAATTGAAAAATTTGTCGAACATGTCCCGCCGACTTTGGTGGCCGACTGGGAATCCTGGTTCCCGGTTCAGGGTTCCCTGGTCATTGGTTCCGGGCCGATTTCGGTGGACTCCAAGTTCCAAGGTTCCCGGTCGATCTCCTGATCGATCTCTTTACCGATTCTACGATTCATCAAATCATCCACTGATTGAGGTTCATCTCTGCTGTAATTTCAAGGTGTTGTCTGACGCATAACTGTTTAGCCAACGCAAGCCCCAAACACTTCGTTACTAGTAGTATGCGTGGTGTACTCTACGTGGGGCGACACATGTCGTGAATTCGATGTGCTTGAATGTATGCTGCGCAGTTGATTCTTGCAAACGAGTTGACGCATTCCACGGGTTTGCAAACATCCCACCGACTCACCCGCAACTTGGTATGCAAAACCCATGCGGCGGCGATTGCGATGAGTGCTTGGCGTTGGCTGGCGCATCTCTGCGGCCGCGCCAGCCCGCGCATGCTGGCGCGCACAGCGGCCAACTTGTTTCGCTCAGCGCGGCCGCGGTGGCGCTGACCGCTGGACAATTTCCAGCGGGCAGTTCACTGCGAGTCGATGGCGTAGGCGGGCGCAGTATCATGGCGACGCCGACGAAGATAGACACGATTATGAGAATAGCGATCTTGGCGACGATGGCAGCAATGACGACGGCAAGGCCAATAACGGCGCCGATGTCGACCACTCCCGCAGAAAACGATGACGATATCCTCGCGTCGGCGACGAGGGTTTGTGAAAGAGTTCGGCATGCGCGCGCGGCCGACGCGCGCAAGTGGTCAGCGCGGCAGTATTTGACACGGACCGCGCACGCCTCCCAGCACGCGAGCATGGGCGTTCGAATGAGTTCGGCATGCGGCGTGAGAAGCCTTTTGGCAGAATGTCATGTCCATTTTCAAGATCCCTAACCTTATGGTTTTCGGGATGAACAAACCGCAAAAACGCAAGCGCAGGCTCTTTTGAAAGCTGGTGCTGCAAAGCCATGCGTTTTCAGGGCACACGAATTCCGCATCCTTACGGGACCTGAAACGTGTTGGAAGGATTTGGCATGCGCGCGCGACGACGTGCGCGCGTGCGCACGTCGCCTCATGTTTTCCCAAAACAGGTTCTTGCGAAAACACGCGCGCAAAGGCGTTCGAGCGTTTCCGGCATGCGCGAATGAAAAACCTGTTCGGTAACATGTGTTGAAAAATTGAAACCATACGCAATGATATTCCTCAGAATTCGCGAAACCGCGGACGCAGGCTTGTATTGAAAACTTGTGTTGCGAAGCCATGTGTTTTCACATGTTCCCGCGACCCTCGATTTTGAAAGCATTATGGAACCCAGAATGTTTGAAAGATTCTGGCGTGCGCGCGCGACGACGCGCGCGTGCTGCGCACCTCGTTACATCGATTTCAACGATGTTTGTTGCTTCTTGTTTTTTTGGTTTGAATATGAGGTGGGAAGAGCGATACTGGCTTGCCTGGGACGGTGCGAATTCAATTTCAGGATGGGCAATGGGTAAATTACAAGATTAAAACATGCACCGTTGAACTGGGGGGGGGGGGAAGGAGGATATCCTTATGAAAGTGAAAAGCGGAAAACTCTGTGTCGTTGCACATAGGGTGTGCATTATACGTTGTGAAATCCATGTGGGGCAACCTATGGTGCGCCACCAGTGGTGCACTACATGGTTGTGGGACTCAATTGTGGAACTCGCAATTGTCAACACCACTGCTCGCGCGATCATCCCACCCACTCACCCGCAACGTGTTTTGCCAAACACATGCGGTGGCGATTGCGATGAGTGCTTGGCGTTGGCTGGCGCATCTCTGCGGCCGCGCTAGCCCGCGCGCGCAGCAGCCTGCTAATGCGGCGCGACCAACGCGGCCACGGTGGCGCTGACCTTTGGGCACTTCCCAACGGGCATTTCAATGCGAGTCGGCCACTTGGGCGGGCGCGGTATCATGGCGCCGTCGACAACGGTAGACGCGATGATGATAGAAGTGACGATGGTGACGATGATGGCAACGGCAACGGCGCGGCAAGTAACGGAACCGATGCTCATCGCTCCGGCGACGATGACGGCGGGCGTCCTCGCGTCGGTGATGCACGTTTTCGAAAGAGTTCGACACTCGCGCGCGGCCGGCGCGCGAGCCCGGCCCGCAAATTATTTGACGCGGGTCGTGCCCCCCCCAGCACGTGCGCAATGGCGCCCGAATGATGTCGACATGCGGCGCGAAAGGCCCATTTGGCAGAATTGAATGGCATCGTGGAAAACCATGGTTTTCACTTCGCATACGCAAGAGCGCGGGGGCAGTTTTTTGGTTGGAAACCTCATGCCGCATAACCAAGTTTTTTAAACAAAAAGTTGTTCGGGGTACTCGATTTTGGACATCCTTCCGGAACCTACGGTTTTGGACAGATTTCGGCATGCGCGCGACGACGCGTGCGCGTGTTCTTCGCTTTTGTTGTCTCCTTTCAAAGGGATCTTGCGACAGGACGCGCGCATGGGCGTTCGAGCAATTTCGACACGCGTGCAAAAGACGCCTATCTGGTAGCACCCTATGACGACAATGAGAAGCCCATGGTGTTCGGAAGAATTCGCAAGAGCGCGACAGCAAACTTTTCAAAGAAAACCTGTGTTGCGAAGAACTGTGTGCTTATATGTCTTCGCTGCGGGACCTGAACTTTTTGAAATATTGCGGCACGCGCGCATGACAACGCGCTCGCTTGCTCCGTTCCCTTTTTTGGCAAGGTACTTCTGAAAACTGCAGATTTTATAAACGAGTGCGCGCGCATAGTACTCGCTGCAAAAGATGAGGTGGGGGCTGGCCAGTTTGGCTGGGATAGTGCGAATCAATCTTTAAAACTGACGACGGGGCAGAATCATGCGTGAATTGCATTGCGAAAAAGAAACCGATTGAATCGGGAAAGGGGGGAGAGGGGGGGGGGGCATGCGAATGCTATCTGAAAGAATCAGTCACGAATGCCCGCAGTGAGTTGTCAACTCCACTGCTCGCGTAATCGCCCCGCACAGCAACCCGCCACTTGGTTCACGAAACGCATGCGCTGGCGATTGCGATGAGTCGACCCCGAGATGCCTGGACCCCTACCCCAGGACCGGCTCTTCATCCTGAGCCATCCCCCGGAGGCCGATAATAGCGAAAAACCTCCAGTCGTGATTTCTTTCACAGCGCGATGAGGTCTGAGTTCGCAGGATCCTGCAAGATCCGCCGTCCTTGCTGACCCTCGTTCGCATTGACCCCCATCCCCTGACCCCCTGGCCGGGCTCCTGGGCCGCCTGCCGGCGCTGCCTGCAGGACCGGCAGCAGAGGCAACCCACGGCGAACCTCAGGAGCCTGGGCGCTTCTAGGGAGAAGGGTCCAGAGGGGGAGGAATGCCTCCAAGACTCCCTTGGTCATAGACATCATGACGGGAGGTTTTCCTGATTTTCGGCCTGTGGAGGCCCTTACCAGCCCTCGGGCCCGTCAACAAAAAGCCTCGGGACGAAAAACCCGTCCCGGGGAAGGGGTCCAGGCCTCAGTCAGGGGGTCGACGTTTTGAGGAAAAAAAAAAAACGTCGTCGGGGGTTTGGGAAGACGGGGGGGGGCATGCCTGCGCGCCTGCGCCCTCCTTCCACCCCCCGCACACTCCCGTTGCGGAAGAAACCCCGATGCGCGCTTTTGTTTTGTTATGACTTTCGGCCTCCAAAAGGCCCTCGCCAGGCCCTGGGACCGTGAACAACAAGATAGTCGGGATGAAAAACTGGTTCCGTGAGATGGGTCGAGGTCGCTGGGGGTCCACGACGTGAGAAAATCACGACGCTGGAGTTCTGGGTCCGAGTAGCCGTGGGCCAAAGGGGGTTATCCTGAGGATTGCGCTCAGGCTAGCATGCTGCATCGAAGAGACGTGTGCTTACGAAGTAACTGCGGTGTGTCTACGACGTGCTGATGGCATCCTACCGCAAAGAGGCAGACATCTGTCTCTCTCTCTCTCTCTCGCTTTCTCTCTCTCTCTCTCTCGGTCTCTCCCACTCTCTCTCTCTCTCTTTCTCTCTCTCTCTCTCTCTCTATTTCTCTCTCTCTCTCTCTTCCCCTTCCCTTATGTATGAGTGTTTGTCTCTCTATGGTCGATGTGCCTCTGTGCTGACTCTCTCTTTCTCGTTCTGACTGTCTGTCCCTATCTCGCTCTCTCTCTCTCTCTCTCTCTCTCTCCGTGTTGCACACTCTCTTTCTCTCTCTCTCTCTCTTTCTCTCTTTCTCTCTTCAATCTTAACTCGAGAGCACTTTTGCTGAGGACGAGCCGTGACACGTCCCTCCCCGCATCCGCTTCCGCCTGGGAAGACTGGAGCCCGCCTGATACGTGTTCAATTTCACCCCCCCTTCAGCATCCTCGCGCGCGCCATGGCTCCGAAAGATACTCGCCGCGCGCCTCCTGCACCAAGGCAGCCCAGACACCAGGCAAGGGCCGCCAAAAGACTCCCTTACCCGAGAGCAGCCTGGCTCGAAAGGAAGCCTGCGCCGCTGCACTCCAGAGCGGGGGCGGCGTCGACCGAGCAGTCGCTGCACACAGCGATCTCGCTCACAGCTAGAGAAGCGAACTACTGAGATTGGGCGGGGATATTGAAATTAACCACACCGTGCCGCATTATTCCCTCACGCGCAGAATGGCTGCAGACCGTGATACCGCACCAGCTGGTGCCGCGGTCGAAGGCAAAGCCCACCAGGGTAACGCGGCACGGCCCCCCCCATCAGCACTGATGCTCAAGACTGGGACGCCCCCGTTACCGGCAGGGCCCGGAAGGGACGGTGAGGGAATGTCATACACCAGCAGCATCTCACTTCACACGCTGGGGGAGGGCGACCACCTGCTCCAACAAATCCGCGCTCGGAACAAGCCTCTAGCTCTCGCAGTTGTAGAGTCCCAGTGCTGCAGCGCACGGCGAAGGCTACCAAGCCCTCGCCATGTCACATGCAAGGCACCATCTAACAACTCGGGCATGAAGAGATCAAGTGCCTCTTGAACGTCGTGCAAATCAAACTCGAACCAACTGATAACGTCGCCTGGATCCACGCGGCCAATTGTGAAAAAGACGTCATCGCTGTCTCACCTACACTCGTGGAATAATTCATGGCCCAATCCTCAAACACCAACATAATCACTGGTAAACACTACCTAAAAGGACCAGGCACGGCACAGCAAAAGGCAAACGAGCGCCACGAGTCACGCAAGAAGGATGCTGTACACGTCCATGCGGACGAAGACCTCATCGACATCGATCGCCCCCCCACTGCGAAGCCACACGTTCTTGTGCAGGGTGGGTTATCAGGCTCCCATCGGTCATTCGTGGGCGATTCGGGGTCGATGCATGCCCCCTGAGCCTTAGCCCCTGGCCAGTGGCTCTCGGGTCACAACTCGGGCCTCCAGCGGCAGCCGCAGACGATCCAGGCGGCCCCAGACTCTAGACGGCCAGGGCGAGCCGCAGCCGCCGGGAGGCACTCCGAGGCTAGAGAGAGCAGCCGAGGGCCGATGAAAACGCCTGAGGACCTCGAACCTCAAAATCTTGAAACTTTGTCCCCCCCCCCCTCGAACGTTGCCCCTGACGTGGCAGCAGCACCCCCCACCCCCACCCTTCTGTGTCAACCCATGGAAGCCTCCCCCACCATCCTGCTGGCTCTTGCGAATCGACGCCGACAAGGCTTCTTAGAAGGAGCCTGCTTCTTTGAAGGCGCCGGCCTTACATCTGTAGTGAAGGCCCGTGCCTTCAAAGAAGCAGGGGTGCTTCTAAGAAGCCTTCCCCCCTCCCCCTGCCCCCCTCTGCACGTGACCGATTAATGCTGATCGACGCTCATCGGCGCCAAATCCCCAGACATCTGATGCCTAGATGATTTTTCGAGGCACGAACCCTCGAACTCTCGATAACTTCCCCGGGACCGGTTTGTAATCCCTAGTAATTATATTCACGGCTCCGAGGCCCGGCAAGGGCCCCGAGAGGCCGAACACTGTATACACAAAGAGCCTCCGTCTCGATGCTGTTCGAGACGCCGGATGTCTGGGTCGGCGCTGCTCGAAGTTGCCCCTGGTGTGGCAACTGCTCACCCCCCTACAGGGAGCCCACAAAAAATCCTCGCATCCAACCGCGTACATGAGCACGGCCCCCTATCCGCGAGACCGCCCGCGTGATACGAACGTCCGCGTAATGCGTACTCTCGTAACCAACGTGGATTCATGTGGGCGATTTCGGAAAACCTGGACCAAAAATTGTTGTCATCTCTTGAGGGCGCATCTTTTACTTCCGCCGCCTTCTGCCGAGCTTGCGCCGCCTTCCGCCTGCGGAGGCGACCCGGTTGTACTTCCGCCGACCTCCGCCGCCCTTCCGCCGCCTTCCGCCGAGGAAGAGACGACAAGTCCTTTGATCCTCGAAGGCAAGGCCTCTTCTGGAACGCCTCATGTACGTGCACGTCTCGAGGCCTCCCAGATGTGGTCGGAGCAGATGGGGTCGGATGATCGCGCCGCATCGTCGATACATCGGCGAAGCATCGGCTATGCGCCGTCGATGCACCAGCGACGTCGACGATACATGGGCGATGTCCGCGTGACGACAATCGGGCTCCGCATCGAGACGCATCGCCGATGCATCGGCGATGCGGCGCGATCCTCCGGCTCGGACCCCACCTGGGGGGCCACGAGTGGATGCACGTACGTGCACGTCATTCTTTCGCTCAAGTTCCCGCACTTCTGCAGACCAGGCTGGTTGTGGTAGGCAGGTGCTTCTGGATGATTCCCAGATCCCACTCTTGACTCTAGGCGCCCTCCTACTTCGAGAATCGACTGCATGGTCTTGCTGTGCACGTCCTGCTTTCGCTCCTGACCCCCCCCATCCCGGCTGGCCAGAAGGGCAGGCACACCGCGCACAGCGCGCCCGCGCCGGCGGCACGCCCGCCGCCCACCGCCGCGCGGCGGCAGCAGGCCAGACATCTGCGCCGCTGCCGCAGCCTCGGCTGTGGCCCCCGGTCTCCCCCGCAGCCGCGGCCCGGGCTCCGATCTCTATAGGGCGACGAGATCTACACACATGTATTGAGCCCGCCCGAACTGTTGCAACTCATGTCGGTTAACTTTCTTTCCCGAGAATTTCCTGGATATTCTTCCCGATAATGTCCTTTTATCCCGTTAATTCCCTTGTTCCCTTGACGACGTTCCCGATAATTCCCGTTAATTCCCCTGTTCCAATTAATGGTAATGGGCGCCAGTCATACTCGGTCTCGCATGGTTAGCCTATATAGCACGTAGAACATGATTTGAACATAAGACTTACACGATGATGGCGATATGAAGGAACGGCTGGCAGGCACATGCGCATCGAACGAGTCGAAAGGGCGAGACGCGGAGGAAGGATGCAGGTGAGGGGAATACGACAAGAGGGGACGACGACCAGGAAGCGACGGAGGGAAAAAGGTGGGAAAGGGAGCCGAAACACGAGGGGAGCAGCAGGAGGGGGCAGCAGGAGGGGGAGGAGGAGGGGCAGCAGGAGGGGGAGGAGCAGCCGACACGGGGGCCACGCATCCGTGCAGCAGCACGAGGGGAGCAGCAGGAGGGGGGGAGGAGGGGCAGCAGGAGGGGGAGGAGGAGGAGCTGGCGGTCGGTGCTGGCGCGGGCGGCGCGGTCGCTGCTGGCGGTCGGCTCTCCCTTGCTGCAAGGTCGGTGATGGCGTCGGTGCTGGCGCGGGCGGCGCCTGGGCTGGCGTCGGCGGCCGGGCGTTGGCGTCCCCTCCTCCTCCTCCTCCTCCTCCTCTTCCTCCACCTCCAGAGGCGATAGGGGCTAGGTGAGGAGGGGGAGGAGGGATGATGGGACACGTAAGGATAGAGATGAAGATTAAGACAATCAGGATGGGGATCAGGCGGCAGCGGCACAGGGTATAGGGCATCGGGCATGGCATGGAGCGACGAGGAGGATGAGGATGAGGGCGAGGATGAGGGATGAGGAAGAAGAGGCGGATGAGCGGAACTGATTATGAAAACGAAGAGGGGGAATGATAGGGTGATTACGAAGATGATGAGGAAGGATGATGATGAAGAGGCAGAGGATGATGAGATGATGGGGCGCTGCAGGGGCGAGGGTGAGAGGTGAGGGATGCGACGGGGAGGAGGAAGACGGAGAAGAGGAGGGTGAGCTGGATGATGAGATGACGAGGTGAAGGAGGACGAGGACGAGAGAACAGAAGGGTTGGGGCGAGAAGCGAGAAATGAGACGAAGAAGTGGTGAGACGTGATAAGTGGGTAAAGATATGAGGATGTAGAGGTAAGCGAGGGCGGGGCAGGGGGGCAGGAGGACGCGGGATCAGAGGATGGCGAGGCCGAGG